ATTTATCAAGGTTAGCAGATTTTCCAATTTTTACCATGCAGGGTAAAGAAAAATAAATTATTTCAAAGGTTTTTACTTGCACTGAATACTTTCCAAGATTGTCTCCTGAAAGAAAAATAAATTCTTACATATATTTTCCTTATAGAACAAACTAATCTTGATAATTCTCTTCAAACAGACAATACACATTTGCCTTTTTGATTGGGTGGGAAAACTTTTACGTTTGTCTCAGGTAACCTACATTTCAGATAATCTAAAAAAGAGATATGATGGTCTTTTATTCCTTTACATTTTCTTATTTGCATGTAATCCTTGAAACTGTTCCAGCCATCTCGCTACCAACTAAAAAAAATGCCAACACCAAGCATGGCAACAGAAGAAAAAGAAAGAACGGGGTCCTTGATAACATGGTTAAACAGATGATAGTTCCATCTCTATAAAGTGTGAGTAAGGGAATAATAAAGAGTGGATAAAAGCATAGGATGGAAATGTGTTGGGAAGAACCTTAGAAGTCAATAGAAATTTGGAGTTCATTCAAGTTCCTCAGAAATCAAGAACTGCCAGAAGTGTATAAACCGGTAAGAAATATGTTAAGAGTTTTATTTTTTTAAGAGATAACATTGATGGTCATGCTGAATAGATTAGATAGAGAGAAGATAGAGATTCGCTTTTATAAGATAAACCGAGCTAAATAATGGTATTATCACTTACTCTAGAGAAAAATATTGAAATGTTTGCTACCTTATCAGTTTGGCCTGTCAACTGAAGCTTTTGTTGGAATTACATCAGAGCTCAGCCTCCCTTTGTCTAACACTATTTTCTTAGTGACCCTCTCAAGCAAGAACACAACTTTAAAAATATCCTATAAGCTAGTCTTCATCTCATAGTTCGCTGTCAGGGGAACTCAACCTATAAAAAAATAGTCAAGAGTGGTAAATACAGTTCCAGATCCATGTCTTTCCCTTGGAATGGGGTTGCTTTTGGCTCCAGTGTGGTCTCATGTTGGGGAAGGGTATGTCAAATAAATGTCCATATTTATTCCGCCAAACCTTTCCTAGAGAGAAATCCACAGGGCATCCCTTAAGTAAGAGAGGCCTTACAGAACAAATTTAGAAAAGCTGTTTAAATTATAAGGTATCACATTTCAATACGTAAAGTCTTATCTGTACAAAAACTTTAAGTAAACATATATCCTGAATTTTGATACTCCAATTGAATATATTCTATGTACATGTATATGTATATGTATATGTATATGTATATGTATATGTATATGTATATGTATGTACATATATATTAATATTTTTATTGGTTTCAGATAGGAAGGGAGAGGGAGAGAGTGATAGAAACATCAATGATGAGAAAGAATCATTGATTGGCTGCCTCCTGCACGCCCCACACTGGGGATCAAGCTCCCAACCCAGGCATGTGCCCTGTCCCGGAAGTGAACTGTGTCCTCCTGGCTTATAGGCCGATGCTCAAACACTGAGCCATGCCAGCTGGGTATATATATTTTAACTTCCCAGAGGATCATCCTGAATAACCAACTAAAGACTAGCTGAAGAGAAGTCTTGTAACCAAGAATTTACACAAGAAGCCACATGGAGACTGGTAGAAAGAGTCCAGACATGAAAAGGGCTGGCTCTACTCCCATGGGTGGACAGTGGCTGGGATTCTGGGGGGATATTTCAGTTAAGGAGGAATCCCCCTGAGAGGCATAGCATCTCAGCCCCACACCAAGCTTGCCAGCCCAGAGCACCAGAGCTGGGAAGAGGCACCATTATTTCAATAGGGAAGACTTGGAAGGGGCCCGGGTGCCCATCAGGGGATGAATAGATAAAAAAAAGCTGTGGTACAGTTACACAATGGGATGCTATTCAATTGTAAAGAGGAAGGAAATCTGACCTTCTGGACAGCATTGATGGGCCAGGTGAGCATTATGCAAAGTGAAATAAGCCATCACATAAAGATAAATACCATATGCTTTCACTCAAATGTGGAATTTAATAAATAGAATAAAATAATATACTGATAGGTAGAGAATCGACTAACAGTTATCAGAGGCGAGAAGTGTTGAAGGGCTGGGTGAAAAAAGGTGAGTGGATTAAGCAAAAAGAAAAGAAAAACCTCATAGACACAGACAACAGGGTGGTGATTTCCAAAGGAAAAGGGGGTGGGGAGGAGTAGAAAAAGTCATAAAGGGGATAGATGATGAGGGAAGGAAACTTGACTTGGGGTAGTAAACACACTATACAACAGACAGATGATGTATTATAGAGTTGTACACCTGAAACCTATATAATTTTATTAACCAATGTCACCCCCAAAATTCAATAAAAATGTAAAAATATTAAAAAATGTTAAATTTCCCAGTGGAAAATATTCCCAACTAGTCACTCATAATTAAATTATGTGTTGTATATTGCTTTCACTCTAAGGAGTACAAAGAAGATCTTTCAGCCCCACAGCGTCCCAACTTGTGTGGTTTCTTCTGCAGAGTAGCTTGGACTTTTGCCGAGCGGCACTGAGCCAATGCAAACCCTGTAGGTCTAAACAGAGCTGAAGTACTACATCTTGACACTTAACTTGCTGCCGTGGAGTACCTTTTAACACTGGAGTGATTTATAGAAATGTTAAAGGTGGGTACCTATGTAAACAATTCATAGTTTGCATGCATAACCCCTTTATGAATTATACATGTTATAAAACATATGAAAAAAATATCAGTTAAGCCAAAAATCTCTAGCACAGACCTTAATTTTATAATGTGTTTAAATAATCATTTATTTCAATAACATCATTAAGGGAAATCAATATTTCATAAATATTTATTTTATTAAATATTAGCACATTTCAAGCATGGAATATGGCCAAAGAGCAATTTGCCTAAAATAGTCACAGAAGGAAATTGTGCTATCACAATTTATTTTAAGCAATGATCTAATACACTCAGTTCAGATAAATGGACTTTCTTCTAATCCCTGAAGGCAGAGAATAGTTCAAGAATAAATTCCCTTAAAAGTATGAATTGCTTTATTGCTATTATACTGAGACATATTTGGAAAAATGCTGCTAGCTATTTAATATCTCTCAAAGCAATAGAACAAAGTAAACTAAGATTTTTCTCTGGGCTCTTTTAAAAATGATTCACCCTCTAAGATATTTACTGATGACTGAGAAATAGCTAATACCATTAATAGACTCTCCTAAAAGTATAAGTCCTTGAACAATTCCTAAAGAAAAAAAAAAGCATATCCTTAAAAATAAATGGAATGGAGAATAATGGCAAGATTTTTGTATTCTAGCACATAAGCAGCTGCTTATTTCATTTTATTTTAAACATTATCCAGGCTTTAGAATAATATATGTTTTTTAATAAAATAACCTTATGTGCTTGCAAGTGTGTTTGTATTAAAACAAGTCAAAACAACTATTGGCAATATTTTAGCTTTCACTTTTTTCTAGAAATATAGATTACATGAAATGCATGCATATACATTTGCATTCAAAGACTATTTCTTTATCAAATATGAGCTTTCATAAGAAATAACCCCCTTTCTTTCAGTGAATCTCACTCAGAAACATGTGGAAAAGTTAAAAATTTAAGATGATTAAAAAGCAAAGCCATTGTTTCTAATGCAGGTTAATTAATCGGTATTAATACATATGGAGACAAATCTTTTCCTTGACTAAAGTCCTGAATGTTAATCATATTCAAATAACTAAGAAATAATGTTTAATTATTAAAATCATCTCAAAATTATAGAGCTGAGTGGTCACTGTAGGCGAATTCTAATGAGGCCTCACAAGCCTAGCATACCTATCAACAACTCTTTTTGAATGGAGGAAGTCTCTATTAACCTGAAACTGCGATAATCCTAGTATTTTTCTCTTCTTCTTAATTTGTCTTTATTGTTGGAAGTATTACAGATGCCCCCTTCCCCTCGCCCTCCACTGACTCCCCTCAACCCCACTCTCACCCACTCCCTAAACCTAGTACTTCTTTTGGAATGCTTCCAGAAAAGGAGAAAAAGCAAAACACACACAAAGATCCCTTGTAGATGCAGAATAGGTCATGTAGTATGTCTTCTCATCAGCCATTCCATCCCTTCTAGTCTTGGTAAGTAGCTTTGCTTGCATAGATATTGATATTTGCTAAAGTACTAGCTAATAATAACTACAAGGCCTAAGCTATGGTATCACAGTATTAGTTGAAAAGTAGAATATAGCAGCAACTGCCTATTGTGTTTGTAATAATATATGTTTCCTTTTAGTAGTAAGATTGCTCTCAATGAGCCCATAGTTAAGATATTAATTTTCACTAACTGAGCATAACTAGGCCATAGGAAAACCTATTCAGATATAAAATGAGAGAGTGGAGAAAAAGTGTGGTATTAAATTACTATCATAGTCACACTATCAATTTAAAGTTTGCTTATTTACAAAAATTGCTATGGATATAAATGCTAACATTTGATGAATACTTCATTTGCTAGCTTTACAATTCAAAACTTTGCATTCAAACTGTATAATGTAATGCTATTCATTTACTACATTTTCATACCTTCCATTCATATTTTCAAGGTTATGGTATTATATTCATTATTTTTTAAAAATATAGTTTTACTGATTTCAGAGAGAAAGGGAAAGAGAGAGAAATACCAATGATGAGAGAAAATCATTGATCAGCTGCCTCCTGCGCACCCCCCACCAGGGATCCAGCCCAAAACCCAGACATATGTTCTGATTGGGAATCAAACCATGACCTACAGGTTCATAGGCTGATCCTCAACCACAGAGCCAGGCTCATTCATTCTTAACAAAAAACATGTATATGTACTTAAATCCATAAAAGTCTAAGATGTATATCAAAGGCAGTATGTTCTTTTTGACATGTAAATGACCTACTGCATTTGACACCAAGACACTTGAAACAACACAGAGAGGGAGAAATTGATTTAAAAAAATGCATCCAGGCAAATATAGATAAATAAACTGACCTTCTTGAAACTTTTGTTTAAGTCAACCAGATTGAGCAGGAAGATATGGTCCTTGGCTCCCAGCAGCAGCCTGCTCCTCTCCTCATCTAACAGAATTGTTTGGAAATCCAGTCCTTCTGATGAACCCAGGAAGGGAATGCAGCTATTTGAAAGCAGCAAGTCTGTGGGAAAGTGAAAGAAGAACAGAATGAAATAAAAAATTCTTAGTACACACAATATTTATGTACCTCAGTACAGATATTGTCCCATTTGGTAAATGTATAAACATAGCATGACTATTTCAATTTAGATAATTGCAAACAAGACACACTTTTTAACAACATACTTATTTAGAAATAGGTATAATTATTGTATTCTTATTTTATTTATATATCTATCTTAACTTATGAAAAATGGATATTAAAATAAATATAAAATGTGTTGATACAAAATAAATTAAATGCAAAATCTCATACAACCCTGTATTAACCTTCTTAAATTATAAATGAACTACTTAAGTCATGAAATAGCGACAGTAATATTAGCACACTGATTTAATTAATGAATATATGCAAAGTAGGAAGATGGTGACATAGGTAAACACTTATACTCATGCCCTCCCACAACCACATCACACTTACAACTAAAATACAAAACAACCATCATCCAGAACTGCTGGAAAGCTGGCAGAATGGAAGTCCTACTACTAGAGAGGTAAAGAAGAAAGCATACTGAGCCTGGTAGGAGGTATAAAGGTGTGGAGGCACAGAACAGGCTGGCTGAGCACCCACAGGTGCTGCTTTTTTAATCAGGGGGGAGAACTTCTCTGCGGAGGCTGCCTGGAGGAGCAAGGGTCCCAGGCCCATACCAGACCCCCAGCCCAGGGTCCCAGAGCTGGCGAAAGAAGTCCCTACAGGCAATAAGAACTACAGGCTATGAAAACCAGTGCAGATTGGGGCTCAGTGACATGGAGGCTGCTGGAGATATAGCTGTTCCTCTTAAAAGGCAAGCACCACTAACGAACTTACAGGCTCCTGCTTCTCCTGAGGTCCAGCACCAGGGAGGCTTTGGAGGATACAGACATATAGGAGGAGGAACTGGATTGTCTGGCATCTGGGCAGGAACTCAGGGGCAGCTTTCTTCCAGTTGGAGGTGCTTCCAGGGATCATTGTTCCTACATTGGGACCTCCCCAGTCACAGGACTGATTGGCAGCCATTTCTGTTTGTTCTGCCCTTGAAATTCCCTGAGACCCAGCCTTATCCAATTTACAACCCCACCCAAGCTGTGTGCAGCAGCTTTTGCATATGAATGTCCTTGCTCAGGCTAAAATCTCAAACAAGCTGAAGCTGGGTCAGGAAGCCCTAAACCTAACAATAAAAGGCCCAAGACCAGGCACCAGCACCAGCTTGCCTTGCTTCAAAGCTGGGCCTCAACTGGGCACTTCCAAACCCAGTACAAAGAGGAGGAATCTGTATATCTCTCTATAGTTCCTACTGGGTGGCCCCAGGCAGTGGCTGACTTCGTAACTCCCTGAAGACCCAAGGGCTAGTGTACCCAGTGGTTAGTGTCATAGATTACAACTCTACACATCCATAAGCAACACTTTTAAAGGGGCAAATCAATGAACACAAAAGCCCATTGAAGCAAGACCTGCTCCATAGGGGTGTCTCCTACCTAGCAGCTCTCCCACTGTAGTCGCAGCTGGTCCTCACAGACAATTGGCCTGGAGGTCAATCCCTCCCAGTGATACCAACAATAATCAAGCCCCAATTATGACAAGAATGTGCTCACAGCCAATAAAGGGGTGCACCTAGAGCTCCCAGCTCAGGTGACTGGGGAGGCTGAGCCACTGGGCTCTATAGGACACCTACCACACAGGGCCATTCTACCAATTCAAGGAGACATAGCAGCTCTACCCGATACATAGAAACAAACACAGGGAAGCAGCCAAAATGAAGAAACAAAAAAGAAACATGTCATAAATGAAAGAAATGGAAAAAAGGCAAACTACTGGACATAGAGTTCAAAACTACAGTCATAAAATTACTCAAGAATCATCTAGAAAACTCCAAAACCTTCCATTTCCAAAAAAAAAATGGAAAAGGACCAGTCAGAAATTAAGCATAAATGGACTGAAATAAAGAATATACAGGGATTCAACAGTAGTGTAGAAGATTCTGAGAATCAAATCAATGATTTGAAATATGTGGAAGCAAAAATAAATAAATAAATAAATACTCAATCAATAGAGCAAGTAGAAAAAGCAATTGAAAAGATATGAAGATAGTGTAAAGAGCCTCTGGGACAACTTCAAGTGTACCAATAGTCACATTATGGGGGTGCCAGAAGAAGAGAGAGAGCAAGATATTGAAAACCTATTTGAAGAAAGAATGACAGAAAACTTGACCCACCTGGTAAAAGAAATAGACTTACAAGTTGAGGAAGCACAAAATGTCCCAAACAAGAGAAAGCCAAAGAGGACAACATCAAGATACATCTTAATTAAAATGCCAAGGGCTAAACACAAAGAGAGAATCTTAAAAGCAGCAAGAGGAAAGCATTTACCTACAAGGGTGCACCCATATGACTGGCAGCTGATTTCTCAACAGAAACTATTCAGGCCAGAAGGAGTAGCAATAAATATTCAAAGTAATGAATAGCAAGAACCTACAACCAAGATTACTCTACTCAGCAAAGATATCATTTAAAATTGAAGATCAGATAAAGAACTTCACAGATAAGAAAAAGCTAAAGGAGTTCATTACCATCAAACCAGTATTATATGAAGGGTATTCTTTAAGAAGAGGAAGAAGAGAATAGAAAAATATAAAAAATATGAACAATAAAATGGCCACAAATACATACCTACCTATCAATAATTGAACCTAAAAATAAACAAATAAGAAATCCAATGAATAGAATAAACTAGTGAATAAAATATACCGTATTTTTTGGATCATAAGACGCTCCGGACCATAAGACGCACCAGTTTTTAGAGAAGGGAAATGAAGAAAAAAAGATTCTGAAACAAATAGTGTCCTAAAATATTTTATGTGCATTAAAACCCAACATCACAGTCATAAACACATGTAATCAACCCTGTGAAGTAAACAGCAGCATTTAGAACCATTTTAGAGCCGGGCAAGCACACAGAGACCACACAGAGCTGGGCAAGTAAAAAAACTTTTTTTTTAAAGTATATGTGTAGGCTATATTTGGACCATAAGACGCAGGGACTTTTTCCCCCCACTTCCTGGGGGGAAAAAGTGCGTCTTATGGTCCGAAAAATACAGTAATCAGAGGCATGGAATGAAACAGATTGATGATTCTTAGAGGAAGGGGAGTGGGAGGATGAGAAGAGATTAAACAAAGATCCTACATACATATATGCATTACCTATGGACACAGACAATAGGGTGGCAAAGGCCTGGGGTGGGGAAGGAACCAGGAGGAGGAGGAAATGGGAGGAATAAAAGATTTTACTCAAGTACTTATCACACTCTCTCATTTTCTACAATTCTAGAGTATTAAATATCAATAAGGTAAGAATATCTTTCATCACTTATTAAAGTCCATTATGTTACTAGACTTTATAACAAATCATTATTTTCAAGTAAAAGTAATTCATTATTAATTGATGAGAAAGAAAAAGATAACATCTCAGGGGCTCCGGCTGGGTAGCTCAGTGAGTTAAAGAGTTGTCCCAATATTCCAAGGTTATGGGTTCAATCTATGGTCAGGGCACATACAAGAATTAGCCAGTGAATGCATAAATAAATGAATCAACAACTCGATATACAACTTATCAATAATTTTTTTAAACTTTAAAAAAAAATAGTGTCTCAGAAACAGGCATCTGTACTTTTAGAATGTATCATAGCAGTTTCAAACTATAAAATAGATACATAAGTCCCTTAAATTTAAAGCCAATATATTCCATCCATCAACTGTGGGCTTCATTATTATTTCATAGTTTTGAGAATTCCCTTCACTCTCTTTTCTAATTTACAATGATTAAATGTTATTTCTTTTAGTTGCTAAGATAGATTTTTGTCTTAGTTTTGAGAAGCAGAAAAGCTATAGCTGAATATATGATACTATGTGAATTCTCAAGTGAGTGTGGCTTCACCAAGTATAAATATCTTATTGATATTTATTAATCATGCTTTGTGTACATTGGATGAAGTCTGAACTCTATCCTAATTATATTTCTATTAAGTTACATAGATCTTTAGTAGGTTTTCAGAACAGAATAATATAGTTTAGCATCTAAATGCAGTAAACCTATTTTTGCAGGGCTAATATCCAAAAAAAAAAAAAAAAAAAAAAAAAATAGTCCATGCTTATTGTAAAGTAGAACTGAGAAGAGAAGAATGAGATTGAGAGAATAATTAAGACACACATTACACACAAACTTTCATTTATCTATCTTCCAAGGGATTTCCCCTTGTTTAACAAAGAATGAAATGGACAAAATGGTCAGTATGTATGGGATTTCCAAGAGTATATATTGACCCAATTAATAGAGAAAAACAGATTATATAAATCCTTATCATTTCAAGTGTCCATGGACAATAATCAACTAGTTTGAACCAGACATTGCAATGTTAATTAATTACAAAATGAAACATGGTTGGCCTAATGAGTAAGAGTGGGAGCTGGAGGTCTAGACCACACAACTGGAACATATCCTGACCACACAACTCTGGCTGTATGATCTAGGACAAGAAATGTAACTTCTCTGTTCATTAGTTTTATCTTATATGGGGATAATAATAAAAATCTATGTAATAAGTGATGTAGGTTAATATATAAAGCATTAGAAAAGTGCCTTGCACACGATAATCTTATGTAACTACCAGGTATTATTATAATACTGATGATATAATTTTTAAACCCTGTACAAAAATCTATAAAAAGGAAGTTATTATATGTCTCAACTCATATAATTCTCCTGAGATAGTTTGTATAAAGTTCTTAGAACAATGCCTTGGAGATAGGAAAAGCTCAACAAATAGTCAGTTTTATAAACTTAGGGTGGTGAACACACAATACAATGTACAAACGGCATATTATAGAATTGTACACCTGAAATCTATATAATTATATTAACCAATGTCACTGCAATGAAAAAATAATTAACTGTTATTTTTAACATAATTATTAAAATTTAGTTTGGAC